CAAATGACAGGATTTCATTCTTTTTCGTAGTTGAGTAGTATTCCATTGTGTACATATACCATGTTTTCTTTATCCATTCATATACCGATGTATACCTAGGTTGATACCATATCTTGGCTACTGTGAAGAGTGCTGTAGTGAACCTGGGAGTGCAGATATCTCTTCAGTATGCTAATTTCCTTTCCTTTAGATAAATACTCAGCAATGGTTGGGTCATATGGTGGTTATATTTTTAGTTTTCTGAGGAACCTCCATACAGTTTTCCGTAGTGGCTGAACTAATTTACTTTCCCATCAACAGTGCATAAGTGTTCCCCTCTCTCCATATCCTCTCTTGCATTTGCTACAGCCAGATAGGAAAAATAAGTTCTAGTGTTGTACAGTACTGCTAGGCATCTTTAATTAACAATAATTTATTGCATATTCTAAAACAACTAGAAGAGAGGAGTTCAAATGTTCTCATCAGAAATGATAGATTTTTGTGATGATGAATTTGCCAACCACCCTGATTTGATCATTACACATTGCATACATGTATTGAAATATAACTATATACTCCATAAATATGTACAATCAATACATTTCAATTAAAAAATAAATAAATATCTTTTTTAAAAAAATTAAATGAAATAAAATAACAGCAACACCGAAGAAAGAATCTAGGAGTAGGACCCTGAATTAGTCTGGTAGTCAGTTGCCAACAGAGCTTTCGTGAAATGTGTTTGGGAAAACACCATGTGGTTTTAAAGGCCATAGTCATTATGTGGCTCTCGCTGCCGTAAATTTGCATCAAACTACCTGGACTCTATATTCTTCTACCAACTCTTCAAAGAATGTTTCAGAAATTAATCTAGCACTATATGAAGAAGTAATACTTCTGCTTGTCTCAAAATTACCATTTCTCCTGCTTTCTAAGAGTTAACTCCTTTCCATAGAATGTAAGAAAGTAGTTAGCAAATTCAGTTGATTTTATTTTCTCTCATGCTCTTTAAACTTTTACTTCTGAGGTTTTATATTGTGTTTTGCCCAGACTCTTAATCAATTTAGTGGGTCTTCCCAACCATTTTCCTGAAACTTTTTTTTTTTCTTTTACAGTAATTATTTCTTAAGGGATGAGATCCAAGATGGCATAATATTCATTTCTGATATACACCACAGTTTCAGTGTCATGTTTCTTTTTGTTTACAATGGCTTTTTGTGAAAATGCCCAAGTTTCTGTTAATCTTTTCAGTTGCAGAAGAGTCCTTTGTTTCATATACAGTTTGGGGTCATTTTTTATTTATTTGTTGTTATATAGCCAAAGGTCACATAACTAATAGTGACAGCAAGTTTTCTCATGCCTGAGCAAAATAGCACTTCTTCCTGTATTCATCATCTCTTTGGTACCACTGGGTTCACCAGTCACCCAGCTAGAAATCTGTGCGTTACTCTATCTTCCCCTAACTCACTCTGAACTTTCATGTCCAATTAATTACAAAGTCCTTCTAGTGTTACTATATTTTGACCCATCCCTTCCACTCCCATGCCTTAAGATCTTATGTGGATAACTCCTGGCAGGTCTTTTGAAAGAATCCATTTAAGTGGCATCTCGTCTGGGTTAGGTGTCCTCTCTAGGTGCTTCCTCTGCCTCTGCATGGTTCTGTTATTGATTCTTCTGTGATGCGATGCTCTCCCCTACCACTGAAGGAGCTGAGTGGAACTTATTCACTGGTTGGTCCTCAGCCCCTGATTTAGTGCCTGGCATACTGTTGACAGGATGAATGAATGAACAAATAAAACTTTCTTTTATCTACTCCTAATGCCTATTTTATACACTATTCTGAGAAAAAATAATTTTCCAATTATTCGAGGGTAATTATACTGAATATATAATCATTTAGCTTCAAAGTGCTTCATGAAAATCTGTGTTTTATTGTTTTCATGTATGTTATAGTATTTTTTGGTTGTGTGTATGTGCACACATGTCTATATGTATTTTAAGGAAGGATAATAATAATTTTCCAAACTTTGTCTTTAAGTGTTATTCATCACTTTGTTTTAATATCTCAGTAATTAAGAGCTCTCGTTATCAATCAAACCTGGGTTCCAATTCTAGTGTTCCACTTGGGTCATTCTTAACCACTCTGATTCTGAGTTAGTTTCATTTTTAAGTGGTTATGGTATGAACCTTAGTAGTTTTATGGGTGTTGAGAATTCTAAGTGAAATATAGTAGGGAGACATAACTTGAGCTAGGAAGTCAAGTTATGACTCAGGATATGACACTTAGCAGCCCCTGGTGATACTTTGTCCCATATTTCTTCTGTCTCCCCAAGTTTACCTGAAACTGCAAGAGGCAATTTCTAACATACTAACAACTTCCCAGCTCAAGTGCTATCTCTTCTCTCTGCCTGAGGGTGCAGGCAGGGGTAACCCAGGGGAGGAGAGGAATTGATGGATGGATGTCCCAGCCTCCCGACCTTCCATAAAGTGATTCTGAGGCATGTTTTCTCTACTGTTTCTCAGAAGGTCTCCAAGGGGACTGAGACCCAACTGGCTATGTAACACATCCAATACTGCAGTCATTACTGATTTTTCTCATTTTCTTGTCCACTTTCCCCACTCCCTTTAGCAAGTGCTATCTAGGATCACCTTCCAACAAACTATCTGCCCCTAAGTCCTTATATCAGGGGTGGTCTGGGGGTAATGCAAACTAAGCCGAGTCTTGAAGAATATGGAATCCATGACCAACCAAAATTTAAAAGACTGTTCCAGTTGGAAGGGATGTCATGCAAAAGCACCAGAGTCAAGAGCAAAGGGTAGCAGGTTCGAGGAACTAAAAGATATTGTCTACGGATGGCTGGAGCAGACCATGTGGGACAGAAAGTTGTGAAGTACCCATGGCCAGTTAGTGGTGGGTCTAAGAGCTTGTTATATTGGCATTATTCTCAGGGACAGTGGGGAATCTGGACTGGATGATTTGAAGTGAGAGAGTGTTATGCTAGGTAGTATGAAGAATAGATTCAAGGGGAGCTGGAGCTAGAGACCTATGAGGAAGTTACTGCCATAATAGTGACCTAACTTGGGGAAGAGTGTAGTCAGTACTGATTGGAGAGAGATGGATGGATTTCCCAACTATTTAAAAGATAGAATTTTCCTAAATTGCCATTGCTATTCCATATCAGGGTGAAGCAGTTTGTGGTGCTAACTAAGGTGAATTGGTCATTTAACAGGGAAGCAATTCAATCATTGATGTTGCTGTGAAGAATGATGTATTAGCAAATTTTCCTTGAGGACCTATTTGCTTCTCAAGAAAAAGTCTTTAACTTATCTATGTATTTAAGTATCTCAATGTTATTTCAAACATATTCAGATATTTGCAGTGGGTGAGAAACTCATGTGATATATTTTTAGTTCATCCTTGTTGGTAATTGATGAAGTTTGTTAGTGATTTATGTTTAAACCAAATTCTGACTCAAGAAATGAGAATGCTTGAGGGTGTAAATTTCACCAATTTACTGATAAGCCTGGAAATAATTTAGAATGACGGAAAATAAAATACTAAAGCAAGTGCATTTATAAAATGATTTTTGACATCTTTTCTGAAACAAATGATTTTGCCATTGAAGCTTTCATTTTAGGGTTATTAGTGACCACTCATTTCAGTTAGTGCAGTGAAAATGGGTTTTGTTGTTTGCATTAGTCAGCACAAAATAAAAATGATGATAAACGCTTTATGAAGATGTGACTTTTGTTATAAAGAAAAGAAAACCTGATTGAAAGTCACTGTCAATTTCGAATGATCCATTTTATGCCAAATAAGTCTTAGAAATCTCTTGATGGATATCAAAAAACGATCATTTGCAAAATTGGAAGAAGCTAAATTCAATCTAGGTGCATTTCTCTATTTTTTAAATTTGTATATTGAGAAAAATATAATACGAAAATTGTAGAATTTCAGCATAATAGCCTTTTATTGTAGGTAGTTTAAATGTGCTGTTGGGCTCTAAACCAACTAATTACTTTCACTCTGGATCCTTTTATTTTAGTTGGTTGTTTTTGTTATAACTCAATGTTTTTATTGTTACTTGCCTAATTTTTATTGTTGCTTGCCTAATAATAACATATCTACTTCATATCATTTCAAACATGCAAAAAAGTTACTGTTTGGGGGCATTTGGGGGGAATTTTTTGGTCTGTTTTGCTTTGTTGTGTTTTGTTTAACACATATATATCATTTAAAAAATATACACACTCACATACTTAATATTTTCAAATATTAAGAGCCAAGATTCAGGCCCCTTTCCAGAAAAAAGCGGGTCATAATTTATGAACTTTCTTCCTAAGTCGCTACAATTTTCCCCTGTACTAGGTAAATGTAGCTCTTTAGCAACCAGTAAGATGACTATTTATTGTACAACTCTGTGCTTTTAAAAGAGGACATAACATACTAAATCTGGAGAACTCATTGTATGTAAAATGTTAAAATGTCAGCAGGTCTAGATCTATGGGTGCAAGGTACGTTTTTCCATGAAACTGCCTTTCATTATGGAATGTGCAGAAAACAAGTGTGTAATAGTGTAAGAGTCAAGCTTTTGATTTTTATTCAGTGAATCTTGAACATACTCTGCTATTTTAGAAGAAATAGTCAACCTAAAAAGAACTCCAAAATAAATTGCTGTAAAGATGATGGAACTGATTGTTCGTTTGATGACTAAAATCCAGTAGTGATGTTAAAGAGACTAGTTTGATTTGGATTTTAAACCTCCAGATGATCTTTGTAAGCTAGCAACAGGCCAACAGACCATAATAGCCCAACTTTAGTCTTTTCACATTCTGGAAACATTTAATTAGCTGGAAAAGCATTCTTTAGTACCATCTAGGATTTAGGTTTTAGAAGTCAACTACAATAATAATGGGGTAAAAGTAGAACGTCTTTTTTTTTTTTTAAGTGAAAAGTTCTTCATTTCACATTTACTGTTCTGCACATTATTGATTTTATTCTCTGGTGTTGTTCCTTGCAGAGAGTGAACCTGTCCTTCGATTTTCCATTTTATGGCCATTTCCTACGTGAAATCACTGTGGCAACTGGGGGTAAGTGGTTTTCTACCCATTCTCATTAAATAATGTACAGTTTCACTGTAGTTATTATTTTTAAGTTACTCCATATTTCAAGATGGATATTTATTGGGAAAATTATTGTCTTCTATTACAAAGTCATGGGTATAAATAAACCGAAGAAAGAGTATAGCTACTGGAAAAACTTCTCAGCAGAAAACAATGTAGTTATTGTAATTTATGTTTTCGGTAGTTTTGTAAGACTACACAAATGGCAGAAATTGGAAAAGATCTAGAAAGAAAAAGTGCTTAAAGAAGCTGTTGGATCATCAAAAACTTTATGAAAAGATTTGTATTATCTTCTAATCCCATTTTTTCTTGAACTTTTTGAAGTATCCTCATATATAGTTTATAGACAGATACATATACACACATGTACATGACCACATGCATATTAACTTTAATTATTTGTTTTTCTCTTTTAATGCCACTTATATTTATTGCCAGCTCATTTTAGAATCTTAAACATTGAAATCCAGTTTGAAAATTTTTAATTTTATTTTTCTCTACAAATTTGAAAGTTAGGGATTAGCAATATCTCAGCAAGGTAATTATCATTTTTTATAGTATATTGCAGGAATCAGAAATATTTTAATCCTTGCTTGTTACTAACAGAGATAAGCAAAATGTCAGAGAATATCCTTACAGGCCTTAAATGGAGGGATAGAGAATGTAGATGAATGAAGGAAGACCATAAAAATGGAACAGTGAGTAGACAGGCAAGTTAAGGGAAATCCTAAGTGTTTCCAAAAAGCTACAAGTGTCTAGGTCTATTGCACCATAGACTAGAGTCCCGTTCCTTCGCTGGGTCCTGTTGGTCTTCAGGAAGGTATGAAAACCATGTTGACCATTCTTGCCATATTTTAGTGTAAGACTTAGAAGATATTTAGGATTCAGAAAAAAAAAATTGTAATCAGAAATATCAACAAGCACGTAAACATTTTTCAAGTGCCTACTCTGATCAATGGTAAATAAAGCTACCTGTGCCTTAAGAATGTATAGCTTAGTGGGCTAGTAGGCAAGAGGAAACAAAATGTGAGAAATTGCTTAAAAAATCCAACTGATAAACCCTGGGCTTTCAGGGATGAAAAAGCTCAACCATCTATGAGAGTTATTTAAGACTTTATATAGAAATTATTGTTTAAGGTATTTCTTGGAGGATATCACAATTTCAGTAGTTTTGTAGAGAAGGAAGAGTCAGTCACAGGGATGAGGACATCCTGAGAAAATATACAGAAGAGGAAATGGGTAGGGTATGTTCAGGAGAGTAGATAAATAGGTGTCAGTGAAGTTGGGGGTATGTTTACAAAAAAATGTGGCATATTAAAATTAGAAAAGTAGGAAGGAGGGTGAATGGTGGATGATTGTGGCTCCGATGGGTCACACACGATGGTAACCGCTGCGCAGTAATCCAAGGCAGAGGTTGCTGCAACCTCCAAGGTGCTAATGAGATACTGTGGTTGGATTCTGTATCCTTGAAGCTGTGCATCCAGAGTGCTATTTGCATTTCCAAGAACGACAAAAAATGAATAAATCTTTGCCCCACTGAGTATGCACCGATCAGAGAGAAGTCAAGATCTGTGGGGACCACGTGCCCTGTGGTGTCAGCATGTGAACGAGCAGGTAGGCCTCGCCGCCACCACCCGAATCCATCCCCAGCCCCACCGAGTGTGCACTTATCAGAGAGGCGCCCAGCCAAAGAGGCCCATGATCCTTGGAGACTACCAGCCCTGTGGTGCCAGCGTGCAACCCAGCAGGTAGGCTGGGCCACCACTGCCCAACTCCATTCCTAACCCAGCTGAGGGCATGCTGACCAGAGAGTTGCCTCCCCTCAGAGTCCTAAGATATGATGCAACCATGCACCTGAGGCACTAGTGGGCAACCAAGCAGACACTGAGGCAGCCACATGAAATTGGCAGCCCCAGCAGCATCCTAGCCAGACAACAGTGTCAAACCAGTGGACTGTGAAATCCCCTGCCACAATGACTAAACATCAAAAGAAAGATACCAGCAGTATGAAAAATCAAGAAAGTACACCACCAAATGGTAATAACTCTCAAGATCTAGATCCTATAGAACAAGAAGCCCTAGAAATGTCTGACAAGGAATTTTGAGTGATAATTCTAAGGAAACTAAAAGAGATACAAGAAAACTCAGCTAGACAACACGATGAAATGAGGAAATGTATATAAGACCTGAAAGAAGAAATGTACAAGGAAATCAATGCCCTGAAAAAGAATGTAGCAGAGCTTGCCAAGCTGAAGAATTCATTCAACCAAATAAAAAACACAACAGAGAGTTTAACGAGCAGGCTTGCAGAAGCAGAAGAGAGAACTTCTAACCTTGAAGATGGGTTGTTTGCAATAACACAGGCAGACAAAAAAATAATAATAATTAAAAACATTGAAGAAAATCTAAGGGAGATATCAGACAATATTAAGTGCTCAAATATCTGAGTCATGGGTATTCCAGAAAGAGAGGAAAAAGGAGATTGCATTGAAAACATATTCAACAAAATAGTGGCAGAAAACTTCCCAGGTATAGGAAAAGACACAGATCTTCAGATTCAGGAAGCTCAAAGATACCCAAATGTATTCAACCCAAAAAGGTCTTTTCCAAGACATGTTATAGTTAAATTGGCAAAACTCAAAGACAAAGAGAGAATCTTAAAATCTGCAAGAGAGAAGCATCAAATCACCTATAAGGGAGCCCCAATCAGACTAACATCAGACTTTTCATCACAAACCTTAAAAGCCAGAAAGGAATGGGATGATATGTTCAAAATACTAAAAGACAGATATTGCCAGCCAAGAATACTCTACCCTACAAGGCTATCCTTGCAAAACGAAGGGCAAATAGTATATTTCTCAGACAAACAAAAACTGCAGGAGTTTACTACCACACGACCACCCTTACAGGAAATTCTCAAGGGAGTACTGGGTTTGGTACCTCTAAAATAACAACCACTGCCATAAAAATTCAAGAAAAATCAAAATGCATGAGTAAAATAAAAATGGCAACAATAAAGACAAAAAAAAGTTTGTCTACAACCCAAGGAACCAACAAATACAGAAAACAAACAATAAATCAGAAAGAAAGGAACAAGAGACACTTAAGATATCCAAACAAAAATCAATAAAATGCTGGGAGTAAATCAACACTTTTCAATAACAACTCTTA